TGACTGCTATTCATCAGCATGTTGGGTGGATGCAGCATGCTGCATAGGCATTAAACACACAGAGGGTGCAGGAAACGATGTATTGAATAACTAGTAAAGAGTACAACAGCCTGGTAAGGAATTTCACCTGACCGGGAACATAAAATAATTGGAGAGCAGAGTCGACCATGAGTAGGCCCGAACTAAAGGCAGCGCCTGGCAAGGAGGGCGGAATGTGACCTGCCTGGTCCAATGCAAAGGGTAGCATGCTGAAGATAAAGAAGCAGGCCATAAGCTTTCCTTACTCCTCTGGAACCTCTCCCTGCTGCTAATGCTGTACCTAACAGATGGGTATGATGTCACTACACTTGCCACTTTGCAAATGTGCTCCAAAGCTTGGGAACAGGAACTTAAAAAGACTCTACGTGAACCAGGATGGCCGCCAGGGTCACCTGGATCCAGCGTAGCCAATTGGGACACTGCCCCAGGGGACAGAGGGTATCATAGAGAAACCTAGTTTCTCTTAACTCCCTCCTCCAGCTACATTCCATTCCACATGAGCGCCACCTGCAGTGGAGAATGTAGACTGCAGCTGCCTACAAGCAGCAGCAATGTCAGTGCTCATAACATCTTGTCATCCATCAATGATGATGATGGGTCTGACCTCAACACAAGTAGCAGACTACCTTGTTTCTTATTCTTGTATGCTGCCGTGTTTCCAAAAGTATGTTGTATGCACATGCATGGATTAACACTGATGCACGACCACTCACTGCTATGATCAGTTGTATGCCCCACCTGTGGCACCATGGGTATGGGAAACCACTGGGATATTTATACTAGGCATATTTATGTTTGAAAACTGCCATGTGCATGAGGCCTTATGCAATTGGGTCATCAGAGAGACTACTATTCTGAGATTTAGTTGGAAGCAGCAGATTTTGTTTCTTATTTACAATGTACCTGTTCATTCTAAATTCAGGAGATATCCTTTCTTGCAGCAACAAAAACTGCTGCAGCCTACTAATTTTACCACAATTGGCTTTCATGAAGGTAAGTGTATGTACAGCCAATAGAGAAGGGTAAAAACTCCTGTTATGATATTTTCTGCTGTATGAGCCTTGCTAGGGAGATTTACCTTCACTTCCAGTCCTGGAAACGCAATAGTAAAATGAGAGAAAATCTCCCCAAAATGAGAGGAATTCCTATCCTAGACAGTTGCCACCAGAATATTTGTCTCTCATCTCTTACTTTGATGACAACTCTAACACAGGGGTGGACTGACAACTCATGGGGCCCCCGGGCAATAGGGGATCATGGGGCCCCTGTGTCCTCGCCCACACTCAAACCACACCCAAAAAAGCATATGAAAGGTACCAGGGACACCTCATGGGGCCCCCTACTGACCCCAGGCCCTCGGGCAGTGCCAGAGTTCCCCAATGGTCAGTCTGCCCCTGCTCTAATATTTTGAATTTCTCTTCACTTTTTTGTCTAGGCAATGCCAGTCATCAGGACAAATAGAGAGGATGCATCTCCCTACTGGGGACCCAGATAGCCCTGCACTATACAAAACAAAAGTTTTGCCTTCATATGTACTTTAAAAATTTGGCATTCTTTTGTGAAACACTGATAAAAAAAACTCTCAGCTAATTTCCTACTTGTTACATTTGTACCTTAACATATACAAAGACGTCAGATTGGATATATTACAGTTGGGACATTGGGATGAAATACAGTTTATTTTTTTGCAGCTACAGCATACTGAACCAGACAGGGAGACTAAGACTATAAGTCAATTTCCAGAAATTCACCCTGTTGACAGTGCAGCAGAGTGAACACTTGGATTCCTTTTGGATTTCAGATGTTTGAGATCCTGTTAGCATATAGCAAACTAATAAATGGGTTCACCAGATCTCTAGTACATTGGAATTTGCCTTTCATCCTGTTTATGGGTATAATGTTATCTGCTTCTGCACAACAGCTGGAAGATGCTGATCTTGCTTAGCACTTTCCTCCTGCTGGTGGCAAGTGTTAAATACATGTATATACTTTTAACTTATAGTGTCATTAAACCTACATCATAAAAAACTATCAATAAATGCTGTATTACATGCTGTTCATACTCACTCAGTCACTATGAGATCTGTTTTCTGTATTCTGCAAAAAACCTGGTTGATCCTGTTGTTTTCTGTCTCCCCTTTTGATCATGTCCCCAATGCAGTTGGGGATTTTGCAGAGCAGTGTAGGCAGCTGCTGCACATTCTCAGTTTTCAGTGAATATCTATGCTCAGTATTTGCTCCCTATCACATCTGAGCATTTCATGTAACTAGTCACACATGTTTGTGCACACACAGTGATAAATGACAGCCCACTCCAGGGACAGACTGACAATTCATGGGTCCCCCGGGCAATAGAGGATCATGGGGCCCCTGTGTCCTTGCCCAAACTCAAAAAAGCCTATGAAAAAGGTACCAGGGGCATCTCATGGGGCCCCCTACTCACCCCAGGCCCTCGGGCAGTGCCCAAGTTTCCAAATGGACAGTCCGCCCCTGGCCCACTTCCTCCCTCCTCCTCCATGCCCACTAATCAGTTAAAGCGGTTATAAAAGCTCAAGGTTTTTTAACTTCATGCATTCATGTGTGCAGCAGCGCCCCCAGCCCCCTCAATACTTACCTGAGCACCATCGCTGTCCAGCAGCGCATGACACCCTCGGCTGTCCCGGGTCTCTGCCTCCTCATCGGCTGATACAGCAAGCGGGAGCCCTTGGCTCTCGCTGCTGTCAATTACAGCCAGTCAGCCAATGAGGAGAGAGGGGGTGGGGCCAAGCTGCGGCTCCGTGTGTGAATGGACACACAGAACAGCGGGTGCCCCCATAGCAAGCTGCTTGCTATGGGGGCACCTGACAGAAAGGAGTTTCCAGGACAGCCTGTGGGGGACCTGAGAATAAGTGGATCCAGGCTGCTCTGTGCAAAACCACTAAACAGAGCAGGTAAGTATAGACATGTTTGTTATTTTACAAAAAAAAAAAAAAAACACTTTGGGGTGGGATATTACATCTTGAGTCATGGAGACTTCACCTCCCTATTATTTTAAAACACTGACTGACAGAAATTTGTACACACCATGTTATTGTCAAAAATAGTAAAGATTTTATTTCAAATATATATTTGTATGACAATTAAACAGATTATTGATATTAATTATGTATTTTTATTATTATTGTTAATTATTGTATCTTTATCCTGAAGGCTGTTTTTTTTTTACCATGTGAGCAGAGGACTAGAAGCTTTTTCTGCCACTGTTTCCGTGCAGACAGGCTGGGAAAGAGCTGGGTCATGTGACTGCTGCATGTTGATTAAGAAAAAAGGTACTAAGATTTTTTTTTTAATTAAATTAATTACAGTGCCATCATCCAGAAAGAGAAGGGACAATGTAAATTAATCAGTGTGTTTATTATCACTTTAAGTGAAATATAAAATACTGTAAACTTTTATGTTGCAAAGCAGAGTGCCACTATTTGTCTTTTAAATATCCTCCCTGTCCCCCCTTCTCTTAGAAAAAAAGTGAAGATAGTAATTATTAAGTTGGCACCTTTTTTTAAGTTCTTACTACCCATGAAAAGCAGGTCCCTTTAAGTGCCTGCATAATGCGTCTGAAAGTCTACATAGCGATCCTGCATCCATGGAATTCTAAACCCTCCTGGTGCATCTTACTATGGGCTCATCACTGAAATAGGAGGTCTTGATAACTAATAATAAGGTCCATTCAGACAGAAGGGACAAATCAAGCCTTCTATTTCCCATTCAAGTCAACAGATATCAGACCTTCAAAAATGCACAACCAAAAGTAAAAGTCAATTCATTGTAAAGCCATACTGCATATGATTTAAATCTCATTTTGCATGAAAGAGCACTGACTAGTAGTTATCAGAGGGAGAAAATGTGGCACTCAGTCAACAATCATAGCAAATTATGTGCATCCCTGCCTGTGGAACCATTGATATATCCCTGTCTGTTGAGGGTGCTGGAAATAATATGTTTTCCATTTGTGGGGCTGCATTCCACATGATGTTTTACAATTCCATTCAGCCTTATAACAAATAGATATAAAATAATGTTTTAACGTAAGTAAAAAAAAATTTTTATGTGATATGTTTATAAAATAACACACATCTAAACATGATAAATACAGACCGAATATAAAAATGTGTTATTTACACTCAAAATGGTCTAATAAAAATCCTTATTAAATAAAAGATTTCAGAAGCCTAGTTTCGAAAGTAGTCCATGCCCCAATGAAAAGATATTTGTATTATTCTGGACACTCCACCATTAATTGATATCCCACCGAGCACAACTTGACTGACTGCATATATGAACCTTGCTGACTTATGGTAAACAAGAAAACCTATTATGAGAAAAATATGCCATTGCTTCGCACCTCTAAAAATGCTATTGGCCTGGCTGTCGTGATCTCCCTTCCTTCAACACTTTGAATCAAAAAGGTTCAACAAATATTCAGATAAGGGTTTTTGACTTTCTTTATTTGCGTATGTGCTCCAGGTCACTGACCTTGAAAAAATTAAATCTAGTGGGGCAGCATGAATGGCAATAATGACATCCCCTCCATTTCTTCGCACTTTCGAAAAAGAACTCTGAACTGAAAAAGGTCACCAGTCGTAACGTATGTTTATACATCTCTAAATTAAATGATGCTTATTAATTCAGGATATTTGAATGGCATGATATAGTACAATCCTACACATATAGATGTTTGCAATGCATGCCATTAATCTTATAGATTAGGCTTCAAATTGTCCTGAGCAGCCTTTTTGGTTTTTAATAAGGTTAATGTTAAATATTGTGTAACAAGGAATACATGAGTTGAAATTCTATCTATGTGATTTTCTTTTTATTACAAAAACATGAACTTCTTAAGATTTCACAACAGTACTCATTGCAGTGGGAGTAGCCTTGCTGGACTTCACTTTGGGTACTTTTTTCACATTTTTATTTTTCTTCATGTTGGTTGCTTTCTTGCTGTTTAGTTGTTTTTTAGCTCTTCTATCAATGGCAGCAACAGCTTTTATGACCCAAGGCATGCTGGGATCTGCACATAACTCTTTACCTTTTCTTGTTATAAACCTAGAGAAAACAAAGAAAAAGATATATAAGGAGGTGACTAGTGGCGTAACTAGAACCTTCAGGGCCCCGATGCAAGAAACCGAGAAGGGCCCAACTGACCCCGGGCTGTCGCCCTTCCCTCCAAGACCGGCAGAGGAACACCAGGTTCCAGAGCATGTGTGACCTTTTGTGACTCTGGTAATTCTGCCACTGGTGTCAGTATTTTTTTATTTTTGTTTTTAATTTTCTTTTACCATTTACTTATTTACAATATTATTTTTACATTATTTTTACAAATTTTTTTGCAGCCTCGTTCAGGGGATTTGGTGAGATATCATGGGACCTCTGATGCTTCACTTTTGAGACAGAGAAAAGAGATTGAGGACACAGCCCTCAATCCCCTTCTCTGCAGCCTTAGCTGCACAGAATGAATGGATAGGAAAAGCACTGTACGGCTGTCACGGTGTGCCCCGTGCCCCCACCCCCCCTGTGCCTTCTGTCCCTCTGCCTGTCCCTTCACCCCTCCCTCCCCCCTTGCAGATTCCTCACATCCTATCACAGCCTACTTCAAAGGCTGTGCAGGATGGGAGGAGGCGGCCCCTGTGGTGCGGGTCGCACCTCTCCTGGCAATATTGCCAGAGAGTCAGGACCCCTGCCAGGAGACCTCTGGCACAGGCCGCCGGGATGTCTCAGCGCATCCCCCCCGGCGGGGGCAGCACGGGCACGAGGCTTCCTGCACTCTGCGCCCGCCGGAGACAAAGGCCACGCTCACGAGAGCATGGCCCAAGTCAGGGGAACGTGCCTCATTGCCCCAGCAACATGGTGCTGGGCCGGACATTGCCAGGGCAACCAGGAAGCATCCTGCTCCGGCCTTAAGAAGGCCAGAGCGGGACCCAGCCCGTGTCTTCTTCTGCTGCTGGTCCCTGGAGCTGCTGGGAGGTCTGAGTTGAGGCCAGACCCCGCAGCCATCCCCGCTGAGCACTCTGCTTAACCCAGGGCCAAGATTACCCACTGCCGCTGTCTGCCCACAAATACCCGCTGTGGGCCCAGAGATACTCTGCCTACCCTGTGCCAGGATTACCCACTGCCGCTGTGTGCCAGAAATACCCGCTGTGGGCCCAGAGATACTACCCTGTGCTAGGATTACCCGCTGCCCCTGTGTGTCAGAAATACCCGCTGTGGGCCCAGAGATACTCTGCCTACCCTGTGCCAGGATTACTTACTGCCACTCTGTGTCCGGAAATACTCTGTTGGATTATCTGCTGTGTCGTTGCCTGCTGCCGGCTGTGTGTGCCAGAGGTGACCCCTGCAAGAACTGTGAGTGTCCATACCCCTGCTTTTCCCTGCCTGGACAGTCCGTGAATCCCCCTACTTTTCCCTGCCAGGACTATCCATGAACCTCCCTCCATTACCCTGCCTGGATAAGTACTTGCCAGAGACTCAAACTTGCCCTACCTGGGGCCGAATTACAATTACTTTGGCCCCTCCCCCTCTCATTCCCTGCTCTGGGTACTTGGACGCTACCCTCAGACCCAAATTGAGTGCTTGCCTTAGTTCAATAAAGCTTTGTGTGTTTATCATCTTCTCTGTGTGTTCTGTCCTGCCTACGCTCTCGTCACAACAGAGCTTCCTGTTCATTCACAAACTTAAATATAGTAAACACAGTTTACTATGCTTCAGTTATGAATGGACAAGTCAGTGATCAATACCGATCACTAACGCTCAATTCAGAAAAGAAAGGGGGCCAGTAAATGACATATGTACCGGTCCCTTTTATGCTCTCCATTCTGACAGCATCCACAGTGGGGCAGTCAGTGGGAGAATGGAGAAGGTAAACCGGCAGTGCTGCAGGGGGGCTGGAAAGATCTCAGGGGGGCAGCCAGAGGGCATGGGGGGGCGCCAGAGAGCAGGGAGGGGAGGCGCTGGAGAGCAGGGGGGCCACCATAGAGCATAGGGAGGGGGGTACTGGAGAGCATGAGGGGGCACTGGAGAGTACAGGAGAGGCCACCAGAGAGCACGGGGGGCTACCAGATAGCACAGGGAGGGTGCCAGAGAGCATGTGGGGCTACTGCAGAGCTCAGGGGCTAGCAGAAAAAAGCTGGATAGGAGGAGCAATGGGGGCAACTGCATATAGAGGAATCAATCGCTCCATTCCTCCTGCAGCTGCTGAATGCCGACTTTTCCTCCTCTCCCACCCGTAGGCATTCAGTGGCTGCAGGAGGAACATGGAGAGATCGATTCCTCTACATGCAGTCTCCCCAGCTGCTCCTCCTATCCAGGCATACAGCGGGGTCGCACGAATCCTCAGCAGTATGAGACCAGGTTGCATTTTCCACCCCTGCTACCCTTGTAGATATGCCCCTGGGGGTGACATCAGTTAGTGTCAATTCCTAAGGAGAGTCACCTGTACCAAGGTCCATTCTATGTTTAGCTATATTAAGGCACACCCATAAAATTGACCCTGTTCATATTTAAAAGCGATCTGACAGATTTGTGATTTGCTGCAAAATGGCAGATCGTGGGAAAAATACCCTTCAGATTCTCCTGAGTGTGTGAATGCCAAATTGTCTAATCAGCAGAGAATCACGATTTATAAATTACTGGAAATTATAAACTGTATTATTCTCTGTGGATCCAGTAATTTGGCATGGACATATACATAGAGATCTGAGAATTTAAAACTCCAGTAAAAGTCTTGTGCAACTGTTATTGTTGCCTCCTCCCATTTAGAAACTCAGACCAGACATGTTTAAGGCCCCTTTCACACGGGGCAGAATCAGCTTACTCAGCGGGCGGTCTGTCTGCTAATCCCCCGCTATGCAAAACAGTGCGGACGGATTACAGGTCCGTGTCCACTCCACTTATACAGAGAAGACATACACACAGCCAGTTCTACTCTATGGGCGGTCAGGACTAAACACACCAGTAATCCGTTTACATCCAACTGCCTTCCCATCCACCCAGATGAAGGGGAACGGATCCCCTTCCATTTGTTTTTAACGGATCGGATTGGAGGCAGGCGGGTGAAAAGTTTGCTTTCATCTGCTGCTCCATAGAATGGATAAATGGATGGTCTGATCGGCTCCACCTGAAAAACGTACAGGCGGACCTAACTGGATCAATCCTGTGAAATGGGCCAAAAAGTTATAAAAAATACTCACAACCCAGAGATAATATTTGTGTGGGAAATAATGTCATGATAAGAGCTCACAAACCACACTGCTCTGCTCAAGTAGACCACCCACCAACATGCAAAATTAAGAAATAAATATTGTGGGGGGCTTAGTTCTAGTGGGTGGGACTATCAAACCTGACTTAGCTTGCTCTTCTTTTAATTATTAAGATGTTCAAGATAAAATTGGTTGAAACCATGTATGAAAATACAAAACCTATATCCAAAACATATTTTTCAGTTTTGGATAGAGTAAAGAAGGGTTACATCCCATGTCAGTTTATTTTTGCTGTCTGTGTGCCTTTGGGGAGGTTTTCCTTCATGTTCATGTCCTCTTAGGTAGATGTTGTTGGAACAAATATCCCCATTTTTCATCACCTCCTGTTCTGGTGGCAGCTGTAAAATGTTGGCTTTCCCAGGATGACAGTAGTCATTAGGACACAACTTTAAAAAAACATATTTGTCTATACCTACACTTTAAGTCTAGTCCATCATTATTATGCTTTGTAAAAGTTACTGGAGTTGTACATTAAGATACTTACAAAATTGCTTCCCTTGGAATGGTTTGTTTGGTGTAACTCTTCAGCTGCTTAACCTGAACTTTCTCCTGTTGCAATTGGATACAGGTACTCTTGTGAAAAACCTTATCGCCCAGACCTAAACAGAGTGATAAAACATTACAATTTAGTTTATTTATAATATAGAAGTCAATACTATTTTCTGACTTATACAGGTTTAATAGACTTTAGATGGTTATGGCTCAAGCCCTTTGAAAATCAATAGGATCATCAGTTTTTTAAATGAAGGGTACCTCAAACCTCACCATACCCTGTCCTCTTTTGAAACAAAAAGAGTATCAGGACTGTGTACATATCAGGAATGAATTGACAGAAATATATTCTTTGGAAGACAAGGCAGCTCCGATATACAGTATGTATTTCATCTGCCCACTGAGCTGTTTGCCTTGAGTTGGAGTGTATCTGACTGAAATAAATGGTGACCAAGTTGGCCAACTTCTTCACCACTGGAGATGTTTGACCAGTGAATGTCTGGAGGGTTGGGGATGGCATATAGACATAAGATCATTCCTCAATATGACTGTAACCATTTAGATCAAGGGTGTATTCTCTTATGCCTGTAAGCATCTTAAAGGGTTGGTTCACCTTCCCTGTCCATTACTAACACCACCACCCCCCCTCCATGTATTCCACCATCCCCAGCTCATTATGAACCACTGCTTAACTTTTTTAAAGGTGTTCCTTTTCCTCAACATTTCCATATATCCATTGGTGTCCTGAGGAAGGTGCAGGGGGGTGCGGTCCGCACCGGGTGACACCGACGGCGTCCCGAGGCAGGTGCGGTCCTCACCGGGTGACACCGACCGCACAGAGTGACACCGGACCCGCTCCACAAAAAGGTAAGTTGTAAAACAAGCTGACGATATCCGCAGGATGGATCCGATCCATCCGGCAGGGATCGTCGGCTTTCTTTACAACTTACCTTTTCTTGGAGTGAGTACGGTGTCACCCCGTATAGGTTGCATGCCGACAATCCTCATCGGCATGCAACCTATACGGGGTGACACCAGACCCGCTCCAAGAAAATGTAAGTTGTAAAGAAAGACGACGATCCCTGCAGGATGCATCGGATCTGCAGGTTGAGCATAATGGATCGGAGTCCGATCCATTATGCTCAATCTGCAGATCTGATCCATTCTGCGGGGATCGTTGGAGGGGGTGTCCCCAAGTGTTACCACACCGGGTGACACCCACCCTAGGGACGCCTCTGCATATACCTCTAATAACACCCAGGCAGCCCAACCCTTTTGTCTCACCTAAATGGCAGGGCAGGCCGGAGCCTAGAAGTGAAGTGAAAAAACACAGCGCATGAAATTAATGAAAACAATACAAATATTAAAATATTTAAAGATTATAAAAAATGTCCAAATAAATATATGTGCCAAAATGAAAGTCTCAATCCCAAAAAATTTTCAAATCCAAAGTGCTCCAAATGCAACAAAATGGTGCTGTATACAGAAATTTCAGTGTGTTCATACCATCTGTGACATGCAACATATACTGCACTCACCAGATATATTGGACTCTAGAATTAAGAGTCAAATATGCTTTGTGGATATTACAATAGGAATTTTCACTGCTCAGAAGAAACTCCAACAAAGGGATCTCCCACACAAATTAGTTGGGTTTGTCCAGACAGGTCATGTGCATGCACTGAACATTCTTCTAGTCACTCTTCTGGCCATGAGTAAGTGGTATCCTGGGTACCGACAACAGGCTTGTAAGCACAGGAGATGTCTTTTGTGGTTACAAGCCTGTTGTCAATATCCAGGATACCACTTACTCATGGCCAGAAGAGTGACTAGAAGAAAGTTCAGTGCAGGCACATAACCTGTCTAGACAAACCCAACTAATTTGTGTGGGAGATCCCTTTGTTGGAGTTTCTTCCTGAAGTGAAAATTCCTATTGTGGAGGATATGTAATATCCACAAAGCATATTTGACTCTTAATTCTAGAGAGTCCAATATATCTGGTGAGTGCAGTATATGTTGCATGTCACGGATGGTATGAACACACTGAAATTTATGTATACAGCACCGTTTTGTTGAGTTTGGAGCACATTGGATTTGAACATTTTTTATTTTTTGGATTAAGACTTTCATTTTGCCACATATATTTATTCGGACATTTTTTATAATTTTTTAATATTTGTTTATATTGTTTTTTATTGATTTCATGTGCTGTGTTTTTCACTTCACAATTATTGTTTGATGTTTTGTCAACAAAGAGCAGCAGCATTGGATAAGGGTTTAATTATTTAACAAAAAATTTGGGCACAGGTTTTTTATTTATATTTGTTTGGAGTTTAGAAGTGTACCCTAAGCGGGCCTTGTGGATCATTCAAACTGCGTACATGTGCAGTATGCTCTCCCTCTGACAGTGACTGTCACACAACACTGAGCTCAGTAGCTGCTGCCAAAGCAACAGAGGGCACACTACACATGAGAGCACTTTGAACAAGCCAGAGCGCCCACTGGTGCGCACTTCTAACCCCCAGCCTATTCTGTTTAGGCAAAATGGAGGAGATTCAGCTGCTTTATGCATATAGGTCATGCATGGAAATATAGTGGAAAAGGAGCACCTTCTTAGAAAAAAGCTGATCATTGGTATGTAATGAGCATATGAAAATGTGCAGGAAAGGTCAACTATCCCTTTAAACCCACTAAAACTACACATGCACAAACTAGTACAGGAGGAGGTTGTACAGGACAGAATCACATGACAACAGGCAGCAATTTTAAAGTGATACTAGACCATTTCCTTATTCTTCAAAAAAAAATCCATACACATCTGCTACTTGATGGCCCTGTAATCTATTTTTCAGAAAATTGTTTCTTATTGTATTTTCCTGCAACCTTGTAATGTCCTCAAGTTCCCAAACCTTTTCTTTTCTCCACTCACTTCTGTTTGGAATGAGTAGTGCACGTCAGGTGCGGGTACATGAACTGCTCTACACACACTACAAATCTCATTGTCCATGGCCCCTAGTCCATCCCAGAAGCAAGCAAGAGAGGGTGGCTACGTTCCTGTATACAGTGGGACCATGGAGAATTAACGTAGCCACCCTCTAACAGGAAATCAGATTGCAGCAGAAAAAACTGAATGTGCAGTTCTGGAGGAGGCTGGGAATATGTACTTGGAATAGAAATTTTATTTTTTAAACTAGAGTTTAGTGTTACTTTAAATAAAAGCCCTGCGAAAATATCAACGAATTCTGGCATTGTATTAAAAAGAGTAAACTAAGCAGACTTTTCAGCTCCAGTATACGTGCAATTGTTCCATGTCAGCAGTCTAGAGTTGCTCTTTGAACATGAGAATACTTTTAAATTGATATAAAATGTTAGTGTATTCTGCCAGGTCTAACCACACCCGGTAAAAACAGCACATATATGACTTTTCTTACTAATTCTTATTTTAGCACTTTCTCCATAAATAATTCACAGTTCTTGTAGACACATCAGACATGCATACGTTCTTCACCACAAATGATATTTGATATGGTACCAGAATGGCAAGTGACTAGGTGCGAGCTGCTAAATTTTCACATTTGTGTGGTCGCAGTATTCATTTCAGAAGACTTGTATTATTTGTATGGGGGATCTAGCTACCTTCAGCCAACTGTAGAAAATCCCACATGTGCCATTTTATAAATGCAGTAGGCTTTCCAAGTCAACTAACCCTAAATAGTGACAATTAATATTTTTCTTACACTCATACTTTAACTTCATAGGTAAAAATTATTCATTGAGGTTTAGTACACATTCATTTATTTTCATACATCATGGAAATTTTATGCGTACAACTTCAGTGGAGTTATAAATAGGTTGTTAGTAGTATCAAAATGCCATATGATTATTTGTGGTCCCATGGAGACCATAGACTGCTGCAAAATGTTCTTTCCACTATGTTCCCCACTTTATGTATAAACTAACTTAAAGCAGTATTAAACCCAAAAGCAAACATTTATTATATTGCAGCTTACTAATTCTTAGATGTGATGGCTGCATTACTTTCCTTTTCTTAAGCTTTCTTTCTTCTATTTTCATCTGGTGATCCAGCCAGTAAGGCTGTTGTTTTTCAAAAGAACAAGTTCTCTTCCATAGGTACCAGTTACAGGAATGAGACAAACCAATTAACATTGGCAGAAGTATTTATAATGATCAGCTTTTATTTATTTATTTATGTAAAACCTTTATCCCAAAGGAAAAAAAAAAACTGCTGTAACTGATTATAAAGTGTGATCTGGAGTATGGCTTCAGTTTGTTTGTAGTTTTATATAAATATGCTCCCTTCTCCCCTGACTGACAATACTGCTGTCCAAAGGTTCCCCTGTATTCCTTCATCCAGAGTGGGGGCACTCTAATACAGGAGGTGTGTTATTGGCCTGATCACCAGGTGATAACAGGAAAAAAAAGAAAAGAAATGCAGTCATCACATTTAATGACTGATAAGTTGCAATATATTACATTTTTGGTTGTGGGTTTAATACTGCTCCAATTTTCCTGTGAAATATGTAGGTTTTTGAGCTATTAAAACTCATAAAATTTAAAGGGGTGTTCCTGCTGTTTGTGTTTTTTTGGCAGGTCGAATTTTGCTATGCAGTATTGAGATCTGCTAGATGAACAACTGCAAATGAATCAGTTAATAGGTAAGTGAATGTGCCAGCTGAAACCTGTCATATTTACAAATTTGCTTAACGCTTTGCTATAAATGAACAACCCTACACCCCATTTAGCAGGTCAAAGTAACACTTGGGTGTTGATTGGATGCTCGGGACAATTACCGATGTCATTCCAAACAATGTGTTTAGATTTGAATAGACTGAGAAAAGTTTAAGACCTTCAGATTTATTGGTGAATGTGTCCTCACTGGAGAGACTTCCCCTCACTTCCTGGCCCCGCTGATAAGTTTTAACAATGTTCTAAGTGGATTTTCTGGGTTTATATGCTTTTGTACATGGAATAATGATATTATTACAATATGGAAGTGATATTGTACAATATTTTCTTGCATCATATATTGATATAACACAGGCATGAGAACAACAAGCCGCTTTTTGAACTCCTCTTTTCTAAGTAA